AATTAGAATTTAAAAATTAATTATTATCTAATATTTGTTCATACAAATTATTTCCTGTATTTTAATATAAAATTATTTCCTCTTGAATATCTAAATATTCTACCAGCGTTTTGTAAGCGGCTTACCTCCTATATATAATACAATATAAATTGAATAGAGGTTCACGGCGGTGCTAGCTCCGATCTTGACGAAGGGGATGGAATTTTCATTTTGCGAGTCTCCGGGACGAGACGTGTTTGCCATAATTTTCAATATTACACTACAAGAGTCGCCCGTTGTAATCTCCATAGCGAAAAGAATCCCGTAACGCGATGGGAGCATGCGGCGTAGTTCCCTGAATGGTGCAATAAAATTAGGCTACCATACATAATGCGTCCCGAGGCGCGCCACCGACAGACGGGACTCCCATACCTTCGCATTATCCCTGCGGTAATTCTCGGGTACGCGAAACGCATTAGTCATTTTCGCATAGGGTGGAGAGGGCGGGTAAGAAGGGGGAGAGGAAAGGGGCAGCAAGAGGGGAAGAAGAAGACGGCGGCGGAGAAGGAGGAGAGAACTGACTTATATTCATCCACCTAATCCCCCTCTGATGATCAAAGATCCCCGACTGTTGGCGGCACCGTAGCTGCAGCAACAACGACCGCCACCACTGCGCGTCCCGCCGCCGTCGCCGCAGTTTCTTCTGCGGCTGCCGCATTGCATCGCGCCGTGGGGTAATACAGAAACGATCCGTGCACTTCCGACGAGCGCGATTCACGTTTTCCGCGGCGCGGCTACTTGGGAGGCGAGCCGGTTGAATTAACTTAACCCCAACGCCTCGTTTGCCGCGGCGGTTGCGTGTATGCGCTCGCATCCCGACGCGTAACGTGTCGCGTACGCGCGCACACGTATGCACGTATGTGGTACGCGTTGCTCGTCCCTCGCGGTGGCAGCGGCCGCGCGAGAGAGCCCAGTGGACGACGGTAATAAAGCAACAAGACAATGACGGTGATTTACGCGGTCCTACGGCAAATGGGCTTACCCGTAGATTTTTGCGCGGGCAGCACGCGCGTCGGTGCGAGAGAAAGGTGGAGAGGCACCGCGCGCGATTTATTAATCTCGTCCGTGCGACACGCACGCAGATGCGATGCGACTCGGAACTCGGCTCAGCTCGACTCGGCTCGACGCGACGCAAGGCGACGCGTCGAGACCAGGTGCTAGCCGAGAGATTATTTATTTAATACATAACGCGCAGCGCATATATCTATCAAGCTCTGCGAATGGAACTGAGAAGAATGTGCGATTAGAATATTTTCCACATATAATGCTGCAAAATAATTTTCCAGAAATTTTAAAGAATGTCTTGCATGATGCAAATAATACAGTATGGAACGAAAGTTGACATAAGTATAATTTTAATTGTTTTGACACTGATAGAGGGAAAGTGAGGGAATTTTTTTTAACAATTTTATGAAATATCTCTTTATTTTTTTACTTACAAGGATTATTTTTTCAATGAGCTTGAATCTGGATGCTAAAAAAAATTCATCGAAATAATTTCTGTATTCTGTAGAATTTATGGACAAACTTGATATCCAAAAGCTTGCAATTAATAACAATGTTGTTCGTGGAAACATTTGTGCCTATCGCTATTTATAGCGAACTCTTGAAGGATCTCGTCCGCGACGACCGTGGCGTGCGAGCGTAGATCACATTAGACACGGTTGCGCATTCACAGATGCTACCAAAAAGCCATCGACGACACGACTGCGCTGCAATTGGAGAAAAAAATACATTACGAAAACCGCAAAACATTACTTTTATTTGGTGGCATCGATCATGTCTTTAGTAAATAATACGTTAAAATGCAATAGGAAAAAATAATCGACTTAATATACCGAGCATCACGTGTGAACTGAAAGATGTAACTTAAACAAAACTTATACTGATCATGTACTTATTTATATATACATTTAAATGCATGTATGCAAGATGCTTCATTGACATTGGGTACTTTATTAAGTTCTTATTTTAAGCATTGCAATTAAAAATTTCTGATAAAAAATCGGAGAAATATTAAAATATATATTGCGTGTATAAAATTATACTTTAAATAAAAAAATATATTAGAATCAACTAATTGCTTATCGACATAATGATATATTATTATCTAAAGAATATTATTAAAGATTAAAAGTCCGAATTAATTATAGTAATATGAGGGATGAATTGATTAAATGTCGGAGATATTAATTTAATTAAATCGAAAATTATCTTGAACGAGGATCGTCAGGATATATCATAAATTTATTTGTATAGACGGTTTTATAGCGACATTATGTTACTTGTGATCGAAAATTGAATTTTTATAATTATTCCATCGTTACAAAATACTCTGCACATGATTAGAGCTTGATAGCACAACATCCGGATGCAGATGTTTGAGTGTACGAGAGCACAAACCAGTATATGGAGTGAGACACGCGTGCCGGTATTCCAGACTATACTCGTTACGTACTATTATTAATATGCGCGATGTATCTACCACGTGGGTCGGCGGATATTCGTACGTTAGTTAAGCCTACCAACGCCTACAGGAAGGCCGACGTACCCGTAAAGAAGCCCAGCCGCGACAGAGTTAATTAACGTAATTGTTAGTATGAAGAGAAGCGCGACAAATAATTCTTCCGTCTGCGCGTGTAAGCTGTCGCGGAATATTCCCTTTAGAATTATAGTATCGTAAAGTTATAATCGTTGTTTTGCTTTATAAAAGCGAATGTAATATTTTTTTTTCTGGAAATATTGGACGAACGTAACGCAACGATGTGTTATAAAAAGTTTTATGCGGTTAGCTCTTTGTTTTGTTTTAGACGCTAAAAAGTTAAATGTTAATTGTTTATTTCTTTACAATTGTAATAAATTAATATATTTATATTTTATTTTATTTTACTTATATTCTACTTAGATTACAGTTTATTATAGTTTTAATATAATAAATTTAATTTAAATTCGATTTAAAAAAGACATTTTTGCAATATTTATATCGTTTACGATTTTTGAAACTTCTCTCTGGCTATTACTTTAAACAATTTTTTTAGTGTGTTCTACTTATGCTTCCGTGTGCATATTGCGTTTCAAAGCTATACAACTATTAAGCAACTGAAAAGCAAAAAGAACATCAAGGTAAGTTACGTAAATATAAACTGTGTTTCGTGTGACTGGCAATGCACACAATACAATTGCAATTTGTGGAAATGTTGGTATAAACGAGAAGAATTCTTATCGTTTTTTTTTGCTTTTCTTCTGCGGTATTCCACTTCACACTTTCACCCGTTTTCCCACATTACGTTTATTTAGAAGCGAATCTGCAACATTATCGCTCTACGCAATATCAGTCTAGTTAACACGACTGTTGAAACCAGTGATAGAAGTTTCTTTATATTAAAAATGAAAAAATAAGTAAATGATGGTTTTTTCTTAAATATTCGAAGGAATGTTATTTTCAAATTGTTCAAAGAATCCGTTAATGAAAGATTGCTTATGTAATATTATTTACTATGTCATATAATATATAATATTTAGACTGAGAAATTTGCTAACGTCTGCAATATGACAGATCATATATTACACACACCACACATCTGCAAGAAAAGTGACGCAAATTAAAAATATCAAAAAAGAGGAAAGAAGAAATTGCGTTAATAATAACGTTTTCTATTAATAATTATTAATTATTCATATTAATAATTATTAATTATAAATAGTTAATAATTAAATATTAATAATTAAATTAAATTAAAAAAAATAATTAATAATGAAATATTAATAATTAATAATTATGAATTTTTATCTCAAATTCTGTCACAAATTATAAATCGTATCTGAAGCAACCTACATTTTACGGAAAATAATTTCATATGTTTATGCTTGGTTAAACAATAATTTAAAAATTAATTATTTATGTCAGTATTAAACATGTAGAACGCGAAATTGAATTTATTTTCTATCAGTTTTTCCTGATTGAAGACTGATGTATTTGGAACATAATCTGCACATAAAACAAAATTCGAAAAATTCCGACACGTGTCACTATTCTTGCGAATGTGCGACACGTGCAACAGATGTAGTGATAAATTATTTTATTTAATAATATCAATACAATTATTAGTAATTTTCCGAATGTTTAAATAAATTTTTTTATAACTTTAACTTTAACTTATTAACTTTTTTATTTTGAAAGACTCTTTTTCAAAATTTGTAAATAAAGAAATTTAATGAATTTTTTAAATCGCGCGAAATAACATCCTTTGTGTAATAAACTTTGAGAGGAGTTGCGATATTCTTGTTGTAAATTTAGTTTAAAGAGCACGCAAAGCTCGGAAACCTGATCAAAATGTAAGAAAGAAATAACAAAAACGCCAATGTAGTTGTGTATATACTTAGTCACATTACATTTATTTATTTTCAATTACACGCAGTTTCTTGAGTTCTCGTTTTACGCTTTTCTTGCGGACATAACGAACAGAGTAACTTGTAATGACAGAACAGATTGTAGTGACGGAATGCAATTACGAAATCTCAGAATAATGTGTACTCGACTTCGTATTTTTTACGATAACCGTTGTGACGCAATAGTGTTGATTACTTACATTCAATTTGAAGATTAGTCTAAGAGAGAATTCTTAGCGACAGCTAAATAAACTCTGCATTGATTGCACTTTCGACGATATCGAAATTTCCGACTTTAAATTTAATCATTACGCAGTTCGTATTTTATGACACGTTCATGGTACGTGTTTTATGAATGTGATATCAGCACGTAGCGCTACCTCAAGTTGCCAGGAAGTGATTGAAATTTTATGATAATTATATCAAACAATACAATATTTTATTAATTAACTTTTAGAAATTTGATTGTGGCTTTCAGGCAAAATATATTTACGTTTGTCATAAAATTAATTAACAAGTGTACGCATATTAATGTAAATAATTTATTTCTGTTATATTCCGCAAATTGCGCGTTATTATATGTTGCATCTGTTTTATGGTGGAGATGGAAGCGGTATATATTACATCACGTTGACATCGCGTGCACAAGAGACGGTTCAATTGCTTATCAGAATCCGCATACAGACGTAACTTTCGCAGTAGATATTTTCTCTCTGTTGAAGATGTTAACGTCAAGTATACATTTTTCGTATATGTTTTTTCTGTTATTTTTTGTGACAAGGATAGTGCATAGCAACAAATTCTGTTCTTGTAAATACTCTATTTTCTACATATTCCTCGACATTAAGGAAACAAGTATTAACATTTTGTATATTATTCTTTGAAGGTGATCAACCAGATTCAGATTTCGCGACTGATGTCAACTTCATCTATTATAAATGGTGTGTTTCTTTCCATGGCAAAATCTACAATTAATCTATAATTAACAGTAATAATTAAGCGCAATTTTTTCAGCAATAATGAAACACCTGCAACGATCGCTTATCCCGTTACAGCGCCGCAAGATTTAATGGAAGTGTTAGAAGATAAGCGTGTAATCTTTTATATTTTTGGATATATGCAATTTCCGGAAGATCCAGGTGTTCAATATATAATGGAAGGTATAGTGTGTTTACGTAACAAATTTATATACAAACTATTATCAAATCGAAGAAAGACAAAGCAAATTGGAATTTATTTGCATTATCAGCGCTTTGTTATGAAAGAACGGACAACATCATATTACTTGACTGGAGCAAATATTCCAATGGCAGCTACCAGACTGTTTTTAAAAATGCCGAAATAGTGGGAAGTTTGTTCGCTCAAGGTATACGGCTGCTTGTGGATAGCGGGCTCGACGTGTCGAAGATTTACATCATCGGACACTCCTTGGGTGCTCATATATCCGGCTTTGCTGGCAAATGCAATGACTTCGTGATACCTCGCATTACAGGTATGTGATTAAATTTTAAATCTTAAGTCTAGTTCTTAAATATAGTAGTGGAAATGACGATAATAAAATAATAATTCGTAATTTTTTTCGTAAGTTTGCTGGAGCATTTTTATTTTATTTGTTCCGCCTGTCGCTCGTAAATGTTAAATGTGTTTTTTCTATTTTTAAAAATTTTTATTCTTAACAATCTTTGTATTTAGGAAATTAATTGTTAACTTAGTAATTAAATTTTTTTATCATTATTATTCTAATTAGAAATTGTTAAGTTAAAAATATCTGCAGTTAGTACTTTCTGATACGTACGAATATTGGATAGTCTTAAAATGGTACAAAATCATCATTCAAATACATATAGGATTGGATCCCGCGAATCCTATGTTTTATCCTTTTGGATGCTATCTAACGGCTGCAGACGCGGCATGGGTTGACGTTATTCATACAGATAGAGGCATTTATGGCATCACTACCGCTATGGGAACAGCCGATTTTTATGCAAACGGTGGCGTTCGTCCTCAACCTGGTTGCAAACTTATCAATCCAATATTAAGTAAAGACGGTAATACTTGATGTGACTAATTATGTTATTTCTTTCTTGTTGCAGTGCAAATTAATTTTTAACAGATAGATTATTATTGAATATTTTGTTTTAATATTAATTATTCATTAACATACATGAATTACTTGTGTTCGTGCTATTTTTAATATTTTTTTCTCTTTTTCAAACTTCACAATTTGTTAAAATTATATATATATATTTAACTTTATAAATACGTAACCACGTTTTAAAAATTTTAAACTAAAACTGAATTTTGTAAAATATATTAATTGTTAAAAAAATCATATATTTATATTGAAAGAAAATGTACACTGAATTAACCATTACATTGTAAATATTAATTAATTGTTGCCTAATATCTCACAAGTAATTTTTGTTTAAGAATTTTATAAGAACTCTGAAAAATAATTTATTGAGTATAATTATTCATTGTTTATAGTGGTTAAAAAATTTCGCAAATAATTTTTAAAAATTATTAAGTCGATTTTCTATTTTATAAGATTGCAAACATTTAAATTATCAATGTTTTATTTTAATTACTTTTTTGTTCTTATAAGATTTCTGCAGTCATCAAAGATCAGTCACATTGTACGCAGTGTCAAAGCGTCAGCCAAAAGAATTTATCGCGGTACAGTGTTCTACTTATTTACGTTATATGTTGACTAACTGCACAAATAATTTAAATACTACCATTGGATATACGGCGTCGAATGTGTAAGATGATAATTCTTTTTAAATTATGCATCAGCAAACAGATTAAAGATTACGTTTATAAAATATTAAAGATATTAATAAATAATAAAATTTTTTTGCAGACATGGATCATTTTATTTCTCTACAGGAATTGTAGAGGAATGATATAACGCAAGCCGATTATTACATTTGTCTTTACAATTGTATAATGGTGATAACACGATAACATATAAAAATTATCCTGCATAGAATATCCAAGGCTAATTGAGTTACTTTTTTTAGAGAGTTAACTTTTTAGAGAGATAACATTTTTTTATTTTTTTTTTAATTTTTTTATAGTATAATTTAATCTGTCTTTTTAATGAATCTTAATATACTCGTATTTGTAAGAAACTACATATATAGCGACAAAAATATTCTTTTTTTTTAAACATTGGAAATTTACGATAAATAATAATTTTTTTAATATCTTTTTATAAAAATCTACATATTGAATCCAGGTCGTTTAAAGAATCTATAAATAAATAAATAAAAGATATATTTTGTTGAAAGTCTTTGATATTCTAGATATATATAATATTTTAAATGTTTTATTGAAAAAGTTGCTGTAAATGTTACAAGTATATCTTTACTAATTTGCGTATTCTTGACAGGTTCAATAATAAATTTTCCGCATTTTCAGCATCTAAAAAATACTGTGCCGTCAAATTTAATTTTATATAATAAGCTTATAAATTCTAAGATTATCTAACTATTTTAAAGAAAAATATGATAAATATTTCAAACTAATTTTTTAAAATAAAAATATGTATATTTACTAATGGGAACTAATAAATGCAATTATAATAAATATTATACGTATTTATTTTAACAGATTGAGCATTATTAAATGTAATTATAATCTTTGAATGTCAACAATAAAGAGTAAGATTATTTTTTATTAATTTATTTCACTCGCTAATATTATTGGTAAAAAGTTGATGTATATATGTGTGATATCAGTGTGATTTAATCTGTAGAACTCCAATCATAATACAGCTGCAGACACTAAAGACTATTTCTGCTGCATCTTATGGAACGCCTTCGTATTTATGTTAATAGCGGGTCCAATTTCGTGCCGGATCGTAAAACAAAACACGGTTTTGGCAATCGGCCAGTGATCTTTTCAGAGTTTACACCTGTCTACGGTTGCGCGTTTGTTTTTTTTTACGGTTTCACTATTCGGCAATTTCAGAATGCTTGTCAACCTTTATTTTTAAAACACATATAATAGTTTATTTTTAATTCTGGGAAGACGGATCGCGTAAGGCAGTGGTCGGATTAATTTTGACTTATACTACTACTAAGTGATCAAAAACTCGAGAATAATAATTTTGCTAATTTAGATACATCTTTTCTTCTTGAAGCATTATTATGAATTGACTATAAACATATTTTTTGGATATATTTATTATTATTTATGAACATTTAATTTATAAATCTCGAGAGATTTGATCATCGTCAAGCGGGAGTTAATAAAAAAATATGAAAAAAAACAATGGCAATTTTCATCAATAAATATAAATTAAAAAAAAAAATACTTTAATATTTTTTACGCAAATATTAAAATTTAATCAATTTATGATCAATCTATAGTCTTTGTCTTTCATTCATGATTTTTTATAAGTTTATAGTTATAAACTTGTATATAAGTCATATATTCCATCAGGCAGAATATGAGTCATGCACATTATTAATCTGTTATAATTAGTATAATTATGCTTTCCGCGTTGCGCGCAATTTCTCAACTGGTCGCTAAATTTGATGCAGCGTATGTACGTGATATGTCGCGTAAATTCTAAAATGAATACTTGGCTCTCTCAGCGAGAGACATCGCCGCTAATTCTGGTTTAATGAGAGGCCCTGATGAAGGACTTTGATTGCTGACGCGCGACGCGTACTAAAACCAAGCCAATCCATAAAATAAGTTGCGGTGACTGAAGGACGCGAACAGCGTCCGGCTGTTGCAGAATATGATTTACAGAGTGGAACAAAGCGTAACTCTCCCGCAATTTTTTTGCGACCGAATCTTTATGTCGCCGTGTGCGTGATATATTATCCGCGCGAGAAACACGTTTATGAATACACAGGTGCCTTTCTCTGCTGCTGCTTCTCGCTCGTTTAATCGGTATATTAAGATTTTATTTGAGATTCTATCGCAGATATCAACAGTCATTCGCGAAGTTTGCTCCGTCTTCGATGACAAGCATTTATCATCACTGCATGCAAATTAACTTAAAATCATAATTTGACGACTGTAAGATTATCACGAAACATTGTAAATATCTTTCACCATCGTAGCGTATTATAAAATTAAGTAACAAAACTAAAGCAATACGAAATTGAAAACTTCGAGATTATAAATCAATTGTTGGTGTCGAGAAGATAATAATTTGAATCGGTAAATATTTTTACTAGCAAAAATGAGCAAAAATTTCTAATATTTGTAATATAATTAAAATAGAAATAAATTTTTTCAGAAATTATATTTTTACAGAGATAATTGTGAAACATATATAATTGTATCAGCAATGTTTTTAAAAGGCGCAGTTGTGTTTTTCTTTCCTTTAGCAAAGAGTAAAAGTATCGGCTTCTCCAGACATATGTGTTGCATGGCATTGAAAACAAATAGCTAGTGTCTACATTCCTGTCTGCCGCGATCAAATCGTATAGTGTCTTTGTTTCATCTTCACAAATGGCACTTCCGCCCACGTATCGCGTCTGGGGAGGAACTATGAACCAATTTGGCCGGCTGACGCACGAGCGGCCGATTATAATTTCACATCGAACGCCGGTCGTCATGAATAATTGATATAGATTGTTTCCATGCCTGGCACTCGTCGGCCGAACCTCCCATCGCGAGCGCTCGCTCGCATTCCGCAGACTTCTTAGCATCCCCGAAAGGTATTCGTGATTATAAATAAGTATTGCGCGATTGATGCTTTTATAAACTGCACAGCTCTAAAAAGGTACAGGTTGAAAAGTCGCTCGACAGAAAATACCGATGTCAGTAAGTTCAACAATGTTATCATTAGCAATAGAGTAACGACAGTAAATATTGCCTTGAGATCTTATGAAGGATCGTAGAAGGATCGTTATGAAGAATTGTAGAGTGTTGAGAAGATACTTGCTATAAAAGTTTCGGATTCGCCGCGCGTTCATTCCCATTTAAGCAATCTACCAATTACTCGCTTGATATGGAAAACGAGCAGCACGCAGTCTGCCTTCTCACCGCTCTTTCTCGCTTCACTTGCGAACCTTTCTTTTCGCATTCGTCTGGCCGCTTCGCAGGTCCGCTGCCGCGCGCTGATTCTCGCCGTGAGCGTCGCGTGCAGTGGCACGTTAACTGCATCGTTGTAAAGCAGATTTCATTTAAAGCGGCGCGACGGAGGCGGAAAGGCCGTAAGAAAATAAGGAGATGCGCGCAGCGAGCGCTTGTGGCCCGACCTATGTAATTTTCATTCGCACTCGTGACCGCGTTTAATCGCGACTGAGGCAAAATGAACGCTTAATGGAATACGTATACTGGGTGATTCACGGTTGAATCGAGAGATCACGTATACAAGTCCCGAATAAAGATTCCGAAAGTAAAGTATAAGCAAATATGTAACGCGATATAATATTATCGAATTCGAAGCAAACCCTGTTTATTAAGTTATTTTAACACCTAATTGGAATTCTTTCTGATATTAATAATCATTTTTGTTTTCCATTAATAGAAGTCTTTTACGAAAATTTTCAAAAATAATAGCAATTTTTAAATAAGAAAAGATTAAAGTAGATAGCGCTGAATTCAACGATATACAACGTGACGAATCGCTTAGAACTTTGAAAATTGAAAATCTGTTTTAAAATTTTTTAATTTTTACTTTTTTTAAAGGCTATACTATAATTACACGCAAAAAAAACTGGGAAAAAATTGAGGAAAGATAAAAATTAAATAGAATATTTTCTTTCAAGTTTAATTAAAATTGTAATACATTAACATTGAATAATGATACAATATCAAGCAATACAGATTTTATTTTCTTCATAATATAATATAATATATTTTTATATATATACTACTAGTAGAGGAAAAAGCGCTTTTATAATTCAAAACATTTTATTTCAACACTAAACATTTTATTTCCACACTAAACATTATAGAGTTATAAATGCGCGCGTTATTTAGCATTGATCTAATATTTACGAGACCCCGAGTTCCCACTCTTCAAACGTCCGTTCAAAATTTAATCCTACATAAATGGTAAAATTTGATTTATAGTCATATAAGTTTCGAAACGCAAAAGTTCTCGGCTGTGTCGTGTATCATCCTGTAGATCCTGGGCATCAGGATGAACGGAGGCGGGTTGACTTTCAAGTCGGGAGTCGCGACTGGACGTTCTTTTCGACTTTAGTATTATTGGCGGCAAATTAAAAGCCGGCCTTCAAAGGCCGACTAAATGAGATTGCGAAAACGATGCGTTGCGCACGCAAACGAATTCTAAGTCGATGAAGCGCACTTGATAAACGAACGCATACTCAGCGAAACATTCGCAGCGTTGTTATTCTCAATCGTGAAACGCTAAATGCGGCTGTCTGCTAAATGTTAAATATACATTTTATTATACCATATTATATCATTTGGTAAGCTTAGAACTGTATTGTGATACATTAAAATCTTATATTTTAGACGTTTAGATTATACGAAGAAATGTTTTAAGTTCATAATTTTAATAATTAATTAATTAATTTTTTTATTTTGCCAATATATTTGCCGATAATTACATAAATATAACATTAATATAGGAATCATTACATTATATATGACACGTAAATTAAAAATTTTTGAATTAAAATAATGCAGAGCTCGCTTTGTTTTGGTGGATTAATAGTTAACGACTTATTGAAAATGATGTAGCAAAGATGGTCTGCGACCTTGAGATAGAATATAGCTAGACAGAGATAGATATAGAATAGAATAACGTCAAGATTTTCTTTTTCATTACACCCGTCATGTAATGAAGATCGCGTCGAACATCTGTTGTAACAAGCGTCACTCAATATATCACACGTTGTACGAAGATCACCTCCTTATGATTTATTACACATTATTAGTATTATCGCACTTTCAGTATTATCGGACTGCGCATCGCATCACACGCATCGGTTTCAACGCGGCGCCTCACATGACGTCCATCAAGAAGCGATAATTAAAAAGAAGGAGGGTTTAAATCGCCTAGATGTGCACGAGATCGACCATCTGCTCCGTGCGATTAGAATGAGAATGGAGTAAGTCATGCTTACTAGAGAAGTTTCGCTATCGAAGCGTGGAAGTATCGTGTTAATTCTGCACATTAACATTTACTTTCTAGTAATTGACTAGAACAAGTCAAACGACACATTTTTGGAAAATTCTGTAGAGAAAATTATTTGTTACATTTCTTCAAGTAAATGTTAATGTGCAGAATTAACACGATACTTCCACGCTTTGATAGCGAAACTTCAAAGAGAAGACTTTGTTCTTAATAGCTTACTACTCGGAAATTATAGATGTACATTTTGATAAAGAAAAATTTTCTCAATCTACGACGTTCAAATTAATGTGAATCTACTTATTGTTAAAAATAGTTCGCATGGTTCAAAATGATTCGATATACATGTAGAGCGATACACAATTCTAGCTGCGTACGTCGTCGTCGGCGTAATCGCCGAGTTGATCACCACGACAGACGCACAGACGCACAGACAGCAAGAGAGAAAAGAGAGTTCTCCATTGCGTCGTACGACAATGCACTTCAACTCAGATGCGCCTACCGCTGCGACTCGAGAGTTGAACCAGAGCCCGCTGCATCCGAGAGAAAGAGAGAGAAAGAAAGGCTGGTCTCTCCTCTCCAGAGGGCATATTTCTTTGATCTCGATTTTTGTCCCGCCTCGCTACCCCTTTCACTCCTCTTTCCCTTCTTCGTCCGCGGAGAGCTCAAGACCGGTTAATCCAGATTAACTTTGAGCCCGAGCACGTAGATACACGTATACGCGGCAGTGTGTACATATTGTAAGCGTAAGGATTCGGGAGGCGCGAAAAATTTATTATAAACGGAATTTTTAAAAACTTACAGATCTTTTCGTATCCACGAGCGCTTTTATCTCCATGTTCGCATCACTTAAACTACGCACCTTAACGTACGATATGTCCTTATCAAGCAAGTCCATCTTGTTAATCTGTAACGTTGCTACAAAAGACGATGCTGGATCTTCGGGTATCTTTTCTTCCTGGTCTATCACATGGCTCGTACCGGCTGTTGCTGCTGCCCAACTCCTCGGCCAGTTAAGACTAACATAGTCTTCCTGCTCGCAATTATAACAAGTTATCTTCCTCCGCAGATAGTCCTTCGATAGGTAACCCGATTGCTCACAGTTAAAGCACGTTGACGAATCTTGTCTGTTGGCAACGTCCTTGATCGAAACTTTGTTTTGGCCGCTTGAGCTAACCGCGCTTCCGTTACGAGTGGCCGGGGGCAGCCTTCCTGGATTTCTCTGTCTTTCTTTCATCACTTGCACCACGGCCTGCACAATCTTTTTCATTTCCCTCGGTATTTGCAGCCCTCCGGATTCAGAACTAGTTTGTCCTGGTCCTTTATTGTTAACCGGTTGCTCGAGAAGCCCGATATCCTTGCCACGCTGTTCTATCTAGCGCGGTGTCCCCTGATTGGTTCACGTAAGGCCGCTCTTCGTACCTAATAGCACGATCAAGTTTTTCTGCGATTAATTACGAATCACTCTAGCTCGAATCCTACTTCTGATATTTTAAACTGTAAGCGTAAGGATTCGGGAGGCGCAGATAAATAAATCGAGATTACTATACAATACTCACAAACTTCTACTTTATAATAATTCAGCTCTAGTCTTTTAGTACAATTCGCCAATGTGTCTTCAAGCTCTTTCGACTCCGAACTGTCTCACAGTTCACGACTCACACACACTACGCACTCTCTTGTCACGAATCTCGCATGCCCAGTCCCTATCTTTCTTCTTTGTTTTGCACTTTCATTACTTATATATCTATTAAGAGAACAGAATTTCTCTTTCCGGGCAATCGTCTGATATTTAGCTTCCTACTTTATCCACTAAGGTCGTACGACTTACCAGAGCTTACAATACTGATAGGTATGCGGGGTGTAAAAATTGTACACGCGTCTAGACAGCTTCGCGGGACTTGCACTCTCAGGAAATCCTTTCTTACGGTCTCGCGAGCTCACTTTACGACTTTAATCGCGTTTAGTTATTCAGAGAGACTATTGGCGTCACACGATATAGTGACCGTGTGCTTCTTGTCATATCTTTTTTTTGTCGAAGTTTTTTGCTCGGTAGCAATTGGACTGATTATAATTTGTGTTTACATTCATATGTAATTTTGATCATGTGTTAATAATAATATTTAAAAAATTTTTTACATTTAGAAATTATAACATAAGTATATTTAATTATACATACATTATAATTTAATTACATTGAATTATATGTAGGGACAATAATTACAAGAATTGTATTGTTTATTTTTTCAATTATTTTACGGCAATTTATGAAAAAAGTAAATTTTTTTTTAATTTCCGCGATTTTAAGAAAGACTGATTTTTTAAACATTTCTTTATTAATTAACGATTAACTATATTATTATGTGTTTATATTTATGAACTTTTTGCTCTGTTTTATTATTTCAAAGAAGGTCGAAAAACCTGATTATAGAGCAACATCCTTGAGCAACGAAAACTTCACTCTTTGCATTCCGCAAATCGGTTGCGTGCATCGCGCGTCGTCCATGAACACATCAATTTTTGCATCCCTGACTCGAGTTTTGCACTAAATGACGAATATTGTAACGCTCAATGCGCTTTAACGAGAACACGTGTGCGACGGCTGGCCGCGAGGATACTTATGTGCAGGTCTCCTCGGTAACGCGATTACGCGAGATCCCGGCGAGATCCGATCTCGACGACGGGATTAAAGGCAATTGCGAGGCGATCGAGAACCGCCATTGGGTAATAAATGCGGCACATAATGAACCGCCTTTATCTAGCAGACTCGTTGAAAGCCGCCGCCGTTCGTGAATGTAAATTTATTCTCCGTGCGTAACAGTGTTGCGTTTTGCCTCCAAGGATAGCGCAAGCACGGCGGAATCTCGTTACATTGAACACACTACAATGTCCGGTCGTTTTTTCACATCTTTTTTCACATCTTTAATATGCTTTTTTAGATCCAATTTATTTTACACACGTGGCTTTTTATCATCTAAATTTTCTATCGCCCGATATCAATGAGCCGCAAAATCGCAGTTTGTACTCATGTGATTGCCGGAAATTTTAATTGATGGAAAAGAACGTTAATGAAAATGATATTGTAAATTCTCTGCAACTTTGTAAGTTTCGCAGAATTCGCTTATTCATTGTAATCGCAGCAACTAGTTTTACCAGTTTTTGTTAAAACATCATTAAAAGTCAATCAGAAGTTTTTCAAAACATCGCACATGTAAATTGTTTGTCGATTCTGTCTTACGCTTTTCTTACGATAAGTTGTCATTATTAACTTGTAATTTGTCCATGGTGGAATTTTCTCTTGCTATTTTGCAAATTAATAACTCTAGAGTAAAATTATTAACAGATAACATATCGTAAATACGAAATAATCATGTAATATGCATGAGTCATGTGAAAGTTTGCACAGTAATTTTATTTACGCATTATTTCGACATTCAATCTTCTTTGATGATATTTAATATTTGGACATATAAACTTTATTTTAAAGAGATCAACTTTATTTGATCATATCTTTGCTAAAAATTTGATTTTTTCAAATTGCTCCTTAAATATATTTTTAATTATACATAAACAATAATTAAAAAATTATCAAAATTACAAATAAATGCTAAAGACAATCTAATTTTTTTATTTGTCACTTCGATGTCCTCTTTTAAGAAAATTCTATTATTTGAAATACTCATATCATTACTTGTGATTCGACCTTACTGTCAATGTTCAAAATAACTGCAAAGTTTTGCAGGACACGTAAAAGAAATTAGAGACTAACAAAACTAATTACATACGCAACTTCTTTATTTGCGATTGTTTGCTTCGAGATAGAGAATTTGTTAAACTTTCATTATGTAAGAGATATTCGCTGTAACCACAAACTTACTGTACAGGCATAACAGATGCCAAGGCATAAAGGGACACGCGCATCTGTCAAGTACCAGCGAGTGTCTCGGGTTTAAACGAGCTCTAGAAGCGCGCATAATTTAGTTGCACTGATATGCATTCATTCGCGAGACACATGCTACTTCTCATGATGGAACAACGAGCCTGTTCAGGATCACCATCTAGGGATAAACAACTGAGCAATGTAGCTCTTCCCGAGCACTTGGTGGTCACCAAAACCTGTCCGACACTCCGAGTGACTTCGGCATTTTTCACGGGATCTTCCTCGATACCGACCCACGCGCGCCAAGCCGCGTCCAGTTCTCGAAGTGGACCTTTTCCAAGGTCAGTGACGTGTGGGCCGCTAGAGAGAGTCCTGACGAAGTGCACTTTGTTGCGAAAGCACTTGCGAACGTCGCGCACGTCGCGTGACGTTTTGACATTGCGACGCAAATGCAATCTCGCGATGAAATTTTTCGCACTGAACCGACGTCCCTCGTAAAAATTGCGTCATTTCACGAAGTCGGCTTAACGGTCAATGAATTCTATCGTACACGTCTTGTCAAGAATGTGTGTGAACTTTGAAGAACGTAAAGAAATTATTGCGATATTCTTTAATATTTATCATTCAATGCGTTGGTAATTAAAGTCAAATCAAATCTCTAACAGAGTTGAATTAAAGTTCACTGAAAGAAATGTTGGAAATAGTAAACAGATATATATAATTTTTAATGTCGAAATATCTGATATTAGTTGATGCATCAACTAAATCAACTGAATTTCAAATTGATTCGCGTAATTAAGCAAATTCGCGTCACATAAAATTGCGACGGCATCATCTTGCGATGATTAAATTATGACCCGGATGGTACGCGTATCCTGCGTGGAGGATGAGCAATCGGGATCAGTGCGTTGCAGCTAATCGGACTAGAAGACGTTAATTAAATCTAATACGGCATATGGATTTGCGTGCAGCGCGAGGAGTATAAGGTGGCGTCTATCGGATGCGATGCGGGGATGCGCTCTGTATAAGGCGTCGTTTCCGATATTAATGATGGCAACGCATTGCTAGTAATGAACACATGCGCGACCTGTCCCGCCCACATACAAGAAGAGCAGCAAAGTTATCTGGACAGTTCCGCGGCGTAATGCGCGTACTACTCTCGCGCGCGGATTTGCATGGCGATTGTAGCTGGATGAAGCTTTGTCCGTCTGCTCCGAGCAGGTCTGCGTCATTTTGAGTTTGCGTAGTGAGTTATCGACCAGCATCTTGAATAGTGCAAGCAATGGTACAGCGAGATAAAAATATGACTTTTCGCACGCCTTATATTTAATGGTATATTCAAGCGTAGAAGAGAAGTGAAATCTAGATTTAAAAATAAAAATAGACCAAAATGAAAAAAGATCGGAATAATTTATTTATTTATTTATTTATTCATGTTGTAATTATAAAGAAATTAAAATTATAATTTATTGTTATCTCTAAATTAATATGTAGATATTTTAGCTGCTTCCCAAGTGCGTGTGTAAAGCTACTTAATTTCTTCTCTAATTGTGAAGAAAATAATCGTATTAATTATAGTGGATTATTTTAAAAATAACAATAAAATCTTTCATAAATAGGCTGAAAATATAAAAGTATGAGATTAAGTAGTAAAATACTTGATTTAAATTATAAAATTGATGATGCACTTGGTACAAATTTAGCTTCTTAAACGGCTTTACCGTAATAAAGCAGTAATTAAGAATAACACTCGATACTCGAATTGATTAACATTAAACACATACAACGTTTTCCTTTTCTTCCAAATTATGGTTATTATTATCCATTTTATTAGTTATATTACTATTTACAAACTATCAAAAAATATCACAAAACGTTTAAAGAATGTGTTCGTGAAACAATATTCGAAGAACGCTGATCTATTCATTTGCCGATTAGTCTATGAACTATGCGCCAACCATACGCTTCTTCCGCGACGTCTGCCAACGCGGTGTAAGATGAGTCGATCTTTACTGAGAGATATCGCTTGCCATAAGGCGTTCAAGTTCATTAAGTATCATTCAAGAACGGCCCCATTATGCGCTCGCGCGCTCGGTAGGTGCGCGCAATTCCTTTTTCGCGGCGCGCAATCCAGCCGATTCATGCGCGAAGCCGGGATTACGTTCAGAACATTTCGTTACATACGCCCGATATTTACGAGATTCGACTCTTAGAATAAAACGTGAACGAAGAGCTCGGTCAGTGGTAAGGAAGGCGTACATCGCCGTAATGAGAACGTACGGCGCTAATCAAAGGATGAGAATAATTTAAGACGAAACTCGTGCGTCCTCACCCATATTGTTAATCCGCCACAATCTACTATTCTTAATTACTCCTAATAAAATAGTGCGGTTTATCGCGCTATTAAATTGCTATATGAATAATTTATTGTAGAATATAAAAAACTTACAAGTTTTGTAGATTGTAAACCGCTTCAGAGATAATTAGATAACATTTCTCGTATTTTCGAAGTATTTTCTCGCATTGCGATAAAATCTGAGAAAAATCTTTGATTTTTCAAAATTTTTCATTTATTGCACATTGTTTTTTTTCGGCGATCAATTAAAAACAAAAACGAGTACTAATAACAAAATTTAATAATGTTTGCATCGAAGATTTTGAAAAGATCATTATGTGTCTACACAGGAAAATTTTTTGGAAACTTTAAAATTTTCTGAAATATTTATGTAAATCTTAATAAAAAAATTAATAAAATATTGTTACAAATAATTTTGCTAATAACTAAAAATTAAAAAAAGAGATACGTATGTACATTCCAACATAGTTTCTGTTGTAGTTATCTTCAGTTAGTCAGTTAGTTTTCGTTGCAGGCGATAATAAATATTTATATTTTCAACGTTTTATCTTACATTAATAATTAATATTTTTGTTTTAAATGTTGTAATCGCTTATTATAAATTTGTAAATGTTAAATATAATACATTTTAAGTATAAGTTTTATTTCTAAGAAAAATTTTTGGCTAGGTTTTCGAAGTAAGTTTATTCTATCTTATTATTATTTATAGTCATTAGTTGCTGTTGGAGAGAAGTTTATCCGAAAGGAGTTATCATTTTTCATAGAACGCTTACCGACTCGTCGACTTCCAATATCACTATCTACATTTATTTTACACAGTTAAAACTATATATTCATTTCTCTACACTGCCAATAAACATATCTTTTATCTGTGTGTTTATGCTATATCTATAAATTGTAGATCAGAAATGTGCTTCGTATATTGATTTAATTATGTAATTTAATACAGTCTAGTTTTAACTTTAAATTGAATGCAAATACTTTGTTATAATATGGATGGATAAACTAAAATTAGTGCATTGCAATAATAAATATAATGCTTTTTTAAATTTGTATTATGCGATATTAATGCAAACTTTCAATTGTAACCATCGAAAAAAGTGGTCTAATCAATTTCGAAAATTAAGAACGGAAATATCAAAATATGTGACAAACATCTTCAATTTTAATTATATACGTAAGCATACAATCAAATTGGTATTTTTCCGTTAAAATTCTTTTACAATGTTACGTAGGACATGTATATAAGATATGTATGCGAATAGCTGCAGCACGCATACAGTGCGCAGATAGTATGTAAGGCGATTTGTCTCTCAATTAATTCATTTTATGTGTGTATATATTATACGCGTAAAAAAAATTACTTAATATTGAAAATTTTAATTTAATAAATATCTCTCTTGATATTTAAATTTGTGTATAAGATTTGTATATGCTTGTTCGTGCATTTTAGCAGGCACGATGAATGGAATTGCTTTCTATTGTCACATTATTTTCTCCCAAGTGGCAATTATCCAGTGATTTAACAATGCATGACAAATATAATCAGAACGTTAATAGCTTGATGTTTGTAAAACGTAAAAGAGTATTAATTTATTAAAATTTTTGAAAAATTAACTTCTAAATTAATTTTTTAAATATTTTTATGTAAAGTATGTAAAATAAATTTATATATCAAAGAAGTATCGCTTATATATTGATTATAAAACTGATACACTGTGAAATATCTGGCTAATTCGGGCTAATTATATTTACCCTATTTTTGAACAGTTAATTCTTTGAAAGGATTTCAAAATGTTCATACATATATTTTAATTGACAGATATTTTTAAAAATTTCTTTTATACTATACTTTGGAGCTGGGGATATTTTTTCTTCGTTTTTATTTCTTGTGCTTCATCTTTTTATATTTATAATTTAATACAAATTAGGCCATACATGCGCGCCTTTTTTTTCTCTCCTTTCCTTTCTTTCCTTTCAACACTTTAAATAGCTTGTTAAAATACAAACTGTCAAACACAATAATCTCTGTGATAACCGATCGAAAACCGTCGAGATGACAACTTAAAGAGGCCTTAAAAGTAAACATGCTTTTTTAAGGTAAGGAAATTAATTTTTCGTACTTGATCTTTTTATGTTTATAATTTAATAGAAAATTGTACAAAATCGTCAGAAATATGTAGTAAACTTCATTCAGAACGAGTTTCACTTTTATGATATGAGAATGTATAAAACATTGCACGTCAAAATAATAATTAGAATTAATAGTTAGAAAAACGAATCTAATTGAATTAGATTACAGTTTGCATATTCGTTATAAGTAATTTAAAATGGATAGTAAAAATATCGAAGATTTTCAGCCTCTTGAAAAGAGTTATTTTTCAGAAATTATTAAAGGTAAGACTTTCATAGTTATTATTTTTCTGATGGAATAGAAATTGAAAATAATCTGATTATATAATGTGTTAATTAATAATTAATAATAAATAATCTGATGAATTGCGCAGAGACAGGAAAAGTTGCTCTTCCATCTACTGCTTCAGTGAAAAAATCCATCCTTGAGCAGCAAACTTTTACGGGACAGCATAGTTCGCCTGTGACTGACATTGAAATACAAAATACAAAAACTGATGCAGCTGAACGATGGATGAATTTTCCTGCCGATAAATCTATCGTATGCAAATATTTTTATATGAAAAGAATTACATGTTTTTTTCGTTGATTTAATAATTAATTTGTTTTATTATTTTATTTGTTTTATTATTGTTTATTAAAATGTATCATGTTGCAGAAATGCGCTACTGTTGAATCAATCAGACCTTTTATAATAATAAAAAGTACAATTTCATCGATATTTTCCATTTCCATTCCTCCATAATAAACTGCACATAAATTCTTCATCATATTATCAAATTTTTAATAGTACATGTGATATCTACAATTTTTAATAAATTTTTATTTTCTTATAAATGCAGAGTTTTTCAGCGAAAACATGTTCACCAAAAGTGCGAACAAAATACATCGAGAAAAATATGGAGATGACAAGAAAGACATATAAGGATCTTAAAATAGAAAATGCTTTAGAAACAGAAGGTGTCAAATTGTACGATATATTGCCGCCCAAGAAAATTCGTCCATTACTTTCTTATACAGAGAAATACGACTTATACTCTAAGACAAGTTACTTACCGTTAGAAGTGTTTGACAATGAAGAATACGACTGTAGGTGAGAAATATGATACAATATGTGATAATGGTGTTTATACTCTTGGGAAACTAAAGCTGCTTTGTAAGCTTGAGCTTCCATAAACTTTAGAGAATTTATCAGATAAATTTGTGTCTACATTTTCGTATAAGTAGAATATTATGATGACAAGATATAATAATAGCAAAGATTAGCAAATATACTGATAAAAATTTCATGATTAAAAAGTATAGTGTAGTACATAAATATAATATTGTTGTATAACATTTTTAAAAGAAACATTGCATAATTTGTAACAGAGGTTTTCTTTGAAAGACGACAATTTATAACAAACATGAGTTTGCTCTGCTTTAATAATATAATAGTATAAAATATATTAAATAATATAATAATACATAAAGTATATTAAGGTAGTTTAATAGCGCAGGATTGAGAAGAGCTTGCTCAAACTCAATTTCGCGTTTCTAGGTAATTTTCAGAAGCACAGTTTTGCACCAGAGCATGAAATTTGGGTACATAGTAACAAAAATATAAGCTATTAAAGCAGTCGATTAAATACTACGTTAAATAAAGTTTCCTTTTTAATAAATAATTAATAATCCTAGCATTAAAAATAAAAAATTTCTTTATAAAATTAATTTAAATATATTTAATAAATATAATTTATTGCTAGAGTAAAAATAAAAATTTACACGTAAAATTTATATGAATAAAAAGACGTGTTAAAAATATGTTATTGGTTACTTAAACATTAAAATATTAACACTTTATGACAAATATACTTTATAGACTCTGTGATGTGATTATTGTAATAATCTGTGATTCGCGACAGGACTCCAGATGAATGGCTAAATCTGGGTATTATCGATGGTGTTCGTCATTCGTTACCAGCCACGGTATTCGTGGAAAAGATTATACGCAGGAAACGGATTTCCCACTTTAATCAAGATGATAAATTGCTGAGTAATTTGTTTGGCTGGTTTAATGCCGCCGTTATGGATTATGATAACGAAAGAAAAGTTTGGACCGTTATCATCCTGGACAGTCATAAACGAAAATTCCTTCTGCCCAGAATATACGTTCGCTTTTTAGGAGAAGATCTCAAAAAATTTGCCCAAAGGGTGGCTGCTGCAGTCAAATTAAGACGAATTGCTGAAACCAATATTAGGTTAATTCAAATATTCGATAAATGTGTTTAATGAATGGTTTGATGCAAATTTTAATATAAAATTAAATTTTTCTTTAGAGATTATAAAATTTAATATTAAAAATCTTGGAAAAATTAATTTTATTCGGTATTTAATACATTGTTTAACTTTTATAAAATATTTCTTATATTTTCCAATTTTTAAATTAATTCAAGTTACTTATGTCGAAAAATATGAAAATATTTCTTTAATATATGCACAATATATACAGATTTTATATTTTTTACATTTTATGTTACAATAAAAGTATGCAACATTAAAATTTATGCTAAAAACACGAAAAACTTATATTTTTTAACTCAAACACAGGAAATTTTAAATAACATTAAAATATTAAGAAAAGATTTTTTTATAATCATTGGATTTTTTAATGAGAAAAAATAATAAAGGGAAAGTTCTGTCACGTTTTTTTTGTACCTTTTGCTTTTCATGTTCTTTATCCAATTATTTTATGTAACACAGATACAGAGATACCTTTATAACTGTTTAACGTTTTAATTAAATATTTATTAATGTATTTATAAAAACGTTTCATAAAAATACAAGAACATTTTGTTAACTTTTCAGCTTTCTATTTCGCGTAATAAATATAATTTTGTCGGTATTCATTTATGTATTTCTGAGAAAAGTAATGGCTATAGTAAAGAATATAGTAAAAAATAATAAAAACAAATAAATTTCAAACAAATATTTTTTACATTTATAATTATTTTTTTACTGAAATACTAGTCGCTATAAAATTCTGACATATAGACACTTTACGTTTCTGGATTGTAACATTCTTGTAATATTTTAATTATATAATTGTACGTAGATACCAGTTTTATTTGGACTGCATGCTAGTAGAAGGTATGCCGACGCTCCATGAAATGCAACAGGAAGATATAATTCTCTCGGTCACCCGACAAGGTTCTATGAAATGTGAATCTAAACATCTTTCTGGGGTAGGTATATATAATCATTTATTACTTATTTTTTTAAATATATTATTTTTTAAATATGACATTTAGTTAATAGATGAAATCGTTTTGGAGTATCGTCGTACTATGTGTGATCTTATGTGGAGATCTCTCATGGCGAAAGAACCGGAAATATATAACTTTATTACGCTGGAAGAAATTAACGATGTTTATGAAATGAAAGTATCAGAAATGGGAAAGACTCACATAGGAATGAAAGACTTTACGGTATTAAAAAAGAAATGATTTTTATGTATATTCATGTTTTACGTGAATTTTCGTTTTAATTAAAAGTTGTTCATAGGACACCAAAAATATTTTCTATTCGATGGTTTTATACGTTTTCCCGGAAGTGTATGAAGCGATGCAGTGTGTAGTCGTTGAAAGTATTCACGTATCAAATATGAAACTTTTTGTTTCGAATTACGGAAAATCAATGCCTTTGTCGGAATTTGAATCGCAACAGTATCAAGAGGCAGGCGCGGTAATAAAATATTTGAAAATAACGTGGTTAGAGAGGATTACTCAGTTAGTTCGACTGCGCTTAAGGGATATGAAAAAAGATGGTTGGTTTGATCTCGAACAGAAAAATTATGATGTATACGATGCATCGAAATTAAAACGATTCATGGATCTCATTGTATATCAAATGCAGGTAATAGTCATAGTTTGATTGCATTTTATATTGTAATTGTTTCAGTTTTTATTATTAATATTCATAATAAAAATGCATAAAAAATTGTGTGATTATTTTAAATTGTTAGTAAGTTTATTCAAAGTTTATATAAGGGAAAATAAAAATAGAGAATATGGATTAAAAAAATATGAAAGAATTTAATAAATAAATAAAAAATAAATAAAAAATAGAAAATAGAAGACTACTTTAAGGTTTATTCGATATTTGATATTTAAACAAAATTGTAAATAAAAGAATAAAATATATATGTATTTATAAAATACAATTGCCTAGGTAAAAAAGATATTAATTTTAATATTACATTAAATTATTTGTCTATAATTTATTGCATATAATATTTCACTCTATAGCATATAAATTATATTCTATATATTTATTTTCTCTCTAATCTACATCAATTTATGTAAAATTAATAAAGATTTAAAGTTTCGCAACTAATATTTTATTTTCGGTCGTGTGGCGTTGTTATATTTGTTGTTACAGAATGCCCTCCGGAATCTCGTTGAGAAATCGATTGCCCTGTATTTAGAAGTACTGGAAACTCCGGCGCTTTGTATACTAAACGTAAATAAAAATTTTGTGTGGGGAGACGATCTCGTTAATACCCAATTTGAGCCTTTAGGAAATCCAATATTTAATATCGATATTGCAATGAATGATAAAAGTGCCTATTACTTAACGGATTTAGAATCATTTGAGGTATGAACCATTATTTTTCTCTCTATGTTAATTGACGAATTAGATTAGTTGTTCGCAAATTATTTGCAATAATTAAACAATGTTTAACACATTTTTTCAAAAATCTATTCGTGATAGTAATAATTCGATAAATTGATTTTGTTGTAAATATATGTTCAAGAAATAAACATAACTTTTATATTATGTATAATACTTTGATTGATTTTTAGGAAGTTATCGTAACTTTGTTGGACAATATCTTAAGCCAATGCCATCAAATTAGACAAGTTCACCCTTTCTTGCTAACCTTGCTAAAGTTTCCCGAAGATTTGTATCTCAGCTCGGTCGACTTAATGGAGGAACACGTTTGCGAAGTCCGTAATCGCTTGAGAACTGTTTATCGAAAGTCCATAATACCCTTACAGGCATACGCGAGAGAATATCAACAGTATTTAGAAATTTACAAATTGAATATCGAAAAATATGTGGAGTAAGTTCAGATCGCTTCGGGCAATGTCAGATAACCATTTAATCAAATGTTCGAAAAACAAATAACTAGAAAGCAAAAATACGAATATAAAATACGGAATATCCTTCACCTTTTCCATTTTTCCAGGGATTTTAAAAGTGCAGGTCACACTGCCGCAGAGATAAAAAATGAAATATCCTTTCATCTTAAGATGAAATCGATCCTCGAATTTTCGCTGCCGAAGGACATCGTTATTGGACCTTTCCGCGTGAATGTTCAACCTCTAAGGAAATTTTTGGTACAGAAGCGACAGAGCTGTTGCACGCAGTTGCTTATTATGTTTACAGAAAGCTTAAGGGCACGAATCGACGTCGTTCTGACTGATTACATGCGAATTAGAACAAGGTTAAAGGCAACGTCACGTAATATCGAGCATCTGCTGGAAGAGCAGGATTGGGTAAAGACTATACCGTTGACGGTGAAAGCTCTGAATGATATAGTGCAGAAGTTAAAGTACGAATATGATGTCCTCGATTATTTCTGGTGGTATCTGTCTGATCAGGATTTCGAAGCCAAGTGGCAAGCCATTGGTTTTCCATGCCAAATACAATTATATGTAAGAATCGCCAATTGTTGCCATGTAAAGACATATAAATATATAATAATTTAGGGAATACTGCTAAATAAATTTATCGGGTTTTTTATAAATATAAAATGTTAACATCTTTAAATATTTATTAGAAATAAAGTAATAGAACACAAAAAATATATGATATAACTTTTTTATTCGTCTTTTTCTGTTTAGCTATTAATGAATTTCATTATTTATTGCTTTATTGGAAATTTTATAAATAAAAAAAGTTTTTTTATGTATTATGTATAGATGGATTTTTTTCATTTTTTTTTTATTATTCAATCCAGTAATGCGATGTTTCCTTTCCACCGGGCTCGCGACCCGAGAGCCCAGCAGGAAACATCGCATCACTGATTCAATCTATAATACATCTAATATATCCACGATCACCTTTTATGTATTATGTACAGATGGAAGAAGTTGCGAAACGTTTTACCAGCGAATATGAAAAATTCCACAAGCTACAAGTGCAGGATGAAATTCTGCTATCGGAGAGAATCAGTGCGCTCGTGGGAAATGTTACAAATGTAGCATTGCAAACAGATATCAGTAAAGTACACGAGATAGCTGTGGAGGTAAAGAGGATTTGGAAGATAATGAAAGAATGCCAGGAATCGAGTTTATTGTTGAACAAACGGCAGAAATTGTTCGGGATGGGTGTAGTGCCATTCGAGCAATTAAGTAAATTAATGGAGGAATACGAACCGTATCAGATTTTATGGATTATCGCATCCGGTAATTAGAAGCGCAGATGAATTACAAAGTTTTGGAGAATTTCCTTGTTGAAATTCACGCATAATGTCGTCATAATTAAATTTACGCCTCCGTGAAACTTCTTTTAGACAGTAATGTAATGCTTCAAATTATGATAAAAGCAAATGTAAATTTTTTTTATTCTTATGACATTTAAGAACTTTCTTATCAGAATTTTTACATTTTTAATTATTTTTTGTACTATTCTATTACTATTCCATTTTTATCATTATTATTCTATTTTACTTTTGTTCTATTTTACGAAATTTTAAGTTCCAACGTAGTTTCCATATTATTAATCTATTTAAACGATTATTTTTATTTTATTATTATACTTTAATAATTCTCAAGATTATTTTAAATGAATAGTAAGTTTAAATTAAATATTTGCAAATTTTATATATTTCCAAATGTAGATTTTTTGAAATGGCAAGAGGTGTGGCTGGAGAATCCTCTGATGAATGTCGATGTGAATCAAGTAGAAGACATGATTGGTGAAATGCACAGAGCTATCTCGCATTGCATAATAGTATTTGAAGAGAATCCAAGTAGGTCGATACTTTGTTTAGGATTCTTTGAGTTTCAAACGCGTCATGTATGAATTGCAAATCATAGGCAAACTGATTTGTCATAAATGATAACCGATATTTTCTTTTGCGATTCATAGAGGTGGCGGCTATAGCACTCACTGTACGAGATCAAATTGAGGCATTTAAACCCTACGTTGGCATTATGCAGGCTCTGCGAAATCCAGGAATGAGGACGCGGCACTTCGAAAAACTTTTTAAGCAAACTGACATACAAATGACACTTACACCACATTTAACTTTTAAGAGTTTACTTATTCTCGGTATAATGAAATTTGAGGAAATTGTGAAGAGTGTCGCGGACGTCGCGACGAAAGAATACTTGGTAGAAAGTACATTGAATAAAATGACGGATAAGTGGAAAACAATCACAATGGATATTCATCCTTATAAAAATACGGGTATGCAAAGACGATCTTTTTTCTGTTTATTTTTAAGTATAGAATATTAATAAACTTTAATATAATAAATTTTACAATTATTTTATTTTTTATTTAAATCAGAAATATATGTTCTTTTAATATAATAAATTATAAAAAAATATATTTTAATCAATTAAAAATTTATGATATTAGATATCTTTCTTATTTTATTTATTTTACTTGTTGTTTCTATAGAAAGACAAATTTATTATTATTATACCTTAATAATTCTCAAGATTATTTTAAATGAATAATAAGTTTAAGTTAAAATTGTATATTTCAAATTGTAATATAATTAAATAATCAAATATTTATTGTTTTACAAAGATATTTTTAAACTATGTAAAATATTAAAATTAGCGTATTATATAACAAATCTGATTTAATAATGCCTCTTAATATGCATTTATATGCAGACATGTATATAATGAAGATTCCCGACGAAATCACTACTCTCTTAGATGATGATATATTCAATACGCAGATAATTAGTTTAAATCCTTGCAAAGCTGCTTTTGAAAACCAAATCGATGAGTGGGAAACGAAATTGCGATTAATTCAGCAGTCATTCGCATTATGGTTGGAAGTACAAAGGTAACAAATATAACGCAAACTTCCCTTGCCATTTGTGTGAAATATAAACTCGTATTGATCGTATACATTGTTAAAAACTGTGAAACAGGCGTTGGACATATTTAGAACCAATATTCTCATCCGAAGATATTAATCTGCAGCTACTCGTGGAAACGCGGAAATTCAATATGATGCAGGAAAGCTGGAGGCAAATCATGAAAAATGCGTGCGATTGCCCATACGTATGAAGCATAAATTTCATTATTTAATATCACGCTTCGCGTGATTTACATTTCTCCATTTGCTGATCTGTTGAAGCAATGAACATTCTAAATAAAACATCAATTGGAATTAATGTTTGAAAAATACATTTGACACATTCATGTTACGTAACTAAATTTATCACAGATTTAAAAATATTTTTCAAACTAAAATATAGATTTTATATAGATTTTATGTAGATCAATTTTTACAATTTTTGTTTCTATTAATTTTGATATAAAAAGTTTAACTCTAAAGAAGTAACTAATTAATGTTAATAACATTAATAACTAACTATAAATATTTAATGCTTATTAGATTGAATTTATTTATATATATTTTTTGGCTAGTATATTGAAAATTATATATAAAAAAATTGTTTGCAGTAGGATTTGCTCAGCAGCTTGTTAAGTTTTTTTTAGTACATTTTTAAAAGTTTTATATATTTATATTATAATTTATATATTATAAAAACATACACTAAATATGAATAAATGAATATATATCTATATAATAATTCTGGAAACATTATCGTATTTTACTTAATACAGATAATCATAACGTGCGCAGACAAGACTTTGTTAGAGAGACTGAAGGAATGTCTGTTGATCCTGGAAACCGTACAGAAAGGCTTATCCGATTATCTGCAGACTAAGCGAATGATCTTCCCACGCTTCTTCTTCTTGAGCGATGGAGAACTGCTCGAAATTATCGGTCAGTCGAAACACGTTCAAGCAATACAACCGCATCTAAAGAAGTGTTTCGAGAATATCAGGCAATTGAGGTTCGAAGATGATCTCAGGATCACGAGAATGTACTCTAATGAGTACGAAGAAGTTGCATTATGGTCGCCGATCTATCCCGACGGAAATGTTGAGAATTGGCTAAGACAGATCGAAGACGTAATGCGCACTACTTTGCGAAAGATGATCGGTGAGACTCTCGAAGTTGTCGAATCGATACCGCGGCAGGAGTGGGTGTATATGTGGCCGGGCCAGGTAGTCCTGTGCGGAAGTCAAACATATTGGACCGCTCGTGTGGAGGATGGCATTAGGAGCAACACTCTGTCTGATTATTACAGTTTAATACTGCTACATGTATGTAAGAAATGATGACTCGCTGTCTCGTAAAATCAAATCAAACGTTTTTATTTAATTCGTGTATACATTTATTTATTTTTTTTTTTTTTGAATTTTTAATTTTTGATTACATTATATTTTGCTTCTGTCTTAGAAATTCAAAAATTATGATAATACAGTTATGATAAAGTTAATATAATATAATTAAGTATTCTGTTGAGAAAAAGTTATATCTTTTTCTTGCGTTTTTTTTTTAATATAAGTACATTTTTTTATATGATAGGTTTATAAAGCAAATTTTCTTTACTTACACGGTATTTCTTTCACATAATTAATTTGTTGTGATAAAAAAAAGCAAACTCAAAGCAAAAACAAGCTCACTTTTTGAAAATCTGCATTTTGCATTATTTGCATTTAATAAGCATTAAATCAAAATCTTTCCTTGAATGTAATATTTTTCCGTGAAATGAAAAAATGAGCTTGTATGTAAAAGTACATTTTCATTTTTCTTACATATCAAAGAAAATTCAACATTATTGCTTTTTTAAGTAAATAAAATGCATAACTAATAAACTCGAAAATAATGTGTGTACGGATATGTGTGATACGTTCGTTTACATAACATTTTGCAGCTCGAGACATTGCAAAAATTAATACGCAGTCAACAAACTGAGTTACAAAGACTGTTGCTAGAGACTGTGATTACAATTGAGGTTTATGCCAGAGATGTTGTGTATAATTTAATCCAAGAAAAGGTAACAAGTGTCAACGATTTCGAATGGATTTCTCAATTACGATACTATTGGGTCGACAATAAGGACTTAAAGATTCGCGCAATAAACGCAGAATTTTCATACGAGTAAGTTGATACTCGATAATTAATATTTGACATTATAAAATTTATTGTAAACTCACATTTCCGATAACTTTATTGATATTTCATAATTTAATCATGAATTGGATATAAGAGAATTTAATTTTATATTGAAAAGCTTCAAAGCAGTATTATTAAATTCACCGTTTATTATTTTCAGAATTTATGAAAATTAAATTTTGTTAAATTTGTTGTTTTTCCAAGTAAATCAAATAAGAGATATTTATATAATCGATAATATACTCTAATTAGAAATCTTTCATTACTCTAACGAGGCAAATTTTAAGCTTTCTGAAATTATGTATGTACATATTTACTCGAAATTATTTATTGACTTTTTACAAAAGACCGAAGGGACTTTCTTTTGCGATAACATCTGCTCGGTAATTTCACGAAGCTACGCTACATTTAATTATATTCTTTAATGGAATCGCAGTCTTTGGAGATAAATTTAGGTAATAATATAAGCATCGCAGAAAACTCTCTCAGGAGCTTGTTAGAATATAGTATTTTACTGTTAGATCAAGCACTAGCTCTTGCTTTTAAAATTGTATTAGCTATATTGAAGTTCTGTCGACATGCAAATTTTTATTAAGCATCCTTTCACCTTAGGTTCTCTTCATCGCAGAATATAAGAAAACGAGAATTTTGCTCGTAGAATTTCACTCTAACAAGAGTATCGCAAGCAAATTTAATCTTATAATCTTATTTTGTAACTATTTTGCGCTTATTTATCGCTTTAAAACCGTGCAGCCATTTATCGATTTTTTAAATATAATTAATTATATATATAATTTTATATGATTATTATACATAATTATTATTATTATAATTTTTATTTTTTATTTTAGTTAAATTTAATGTTCTTTATCTATTAAAATTTTTTATTTTATTATAATTATAAAATTAACAACCTACAAATTTACAGATTAAACACATTTTACCGCGTAAAGCACGTTCAATTAAATGTTGCAAGAACGTAACTAATGCAATATCTTCTACCTGTGACGCTTTTATAATGATCGTTCTGTATGCTTGTTGCGACTGGCTCTTACAAAGGCTTTTAAAATTAATAATTCATTACTTTCTCATTACCTAATATTTTCAAGCCACTTTTGTAGTTCTTTTGCTGTAGTTCTTTTGCTGTTCTGTAATTTTCGTTTTGATAGAAATATGACATCTCTTTTTAACAAACTATGTAACTAAGGTAATTATTATATAATATTTTCTATGTATCTTACAGATACGAATATTTAGGTAACAGCGGAAGGTTAGTAATTACACCATTGACCAATCGCTGCTTCCTCACGCTTACCAGTGCTTTGCATTTGAAATTCGGCGCTGCATTGACCGGTCCGACTGGCACCGGTAAAACGGAGACTACAAAGGACCTCGCAAAAGCTTTTGCGATTCAGTGTGTGGTTTTTAATTGTTCCAACCAGCTGGACTTCAGGTCTATGGGTAAATTCTTCAAGGCTCTTGCCAGGTAAGACGCGAATATTTTACATCGGCTGGCTATTTTTGACGCTATTTACGTTGACATTTACGTTTGACAATTTATTGTAAGTTTAAGTTTATATAACTTTATAACATTTCTAGCACTGGTGCGTGGGTATGTTTTGTTGGATTTAATCGGATCGATATCGAAGTTTTGTCCGTCGTAGCACAGCAAATCATAACGATTCAAAAAGCACAACAGGCGCAAGCAAAAGCGTAAGTAAATTGTGACCTAAATATTCCATGTACATAGAATGGTTTGGAACAGTTCAGGAAATGACAGTGAAATGGTTTTAAATTGAATAAAAACTAGTAGTATTTTGACAACAATATTTCTTTAGGAAAAAATTTATTTATTGTTTACTTCTGGATTTATTTAATATTGATATCTAAGTGGTTTGACATTGGATTATAGCCAATCGATAATATAATATCAATTATTTCCTTTATCAAATAGCTACTTATGATAATAGAGATATCATGAATAATGCAATTTTAAAAATTTGCTTGCAAAATGAATTATAATTTATCAGATAGTGATATCTTTTTATCAATTTTTCTCTGCTTTATTTATTCTATTATGTATTAATACATCGAACAATTTGTATACGTATAATAATGCACTACATATAATAATAATAATTCTGTGCAAACTAAAAAACAATATATAGTAACATTATCATTATGATTTAAATTTTATTTATTATCGCGCGAATCTAGTTTTTCAACGCAATTATAAAAACATTTCTCTTCTTATTATTTATATTCATTATCTGCAGTTTGTAATGATAAATTTTTTTATACGTTATCTCAAAAGCTATAAAGTTACATGCTACAGTAATGTATGCAAATCGAGATAATAATCGTAAGTATCGTAATATTTTACGAAGATGACAATTAGAATTGTATAAAATAATGTTTATATTTAAAAATAGAAATTATTAATTTTCAAAAATATAACAATGTTATGCATATTTATCTCGATAATTTTTCCATTTAATTTTACATGTAAAATTCATAAACTCGTAGATTTCTTTTTGAAGGAGTTGAGCTTGTCTTGAAACCGTCCTGTGCTACATTCATCACTATAAATCCTGGTTATTCCGGTGAAATAAAAGAATTACCTGGTAACTTGAAGGCACTTTTCCGACCCATGGCTATGGTGATCCCGGAATATACTTTGATCGCTGAAATATTATTGTTTTCGTACGGATTTGCGGATGCCGGAAATCTTGCTAGAAAAATCACGACAACTTTCAAATTGAGTTCAGAGCTACTAAGTACACAAGTATCTTTATTTTCCTTTCATTTCTTTTTGTTTTCTCCTCTTTTAAAGATTACATAAGAAATATACGTTTTAGCAAGTTATTAGAATTAATTATTGTTTGTGTACATTATTAATGCACACAATAACAATGTGAATAATAAATATGTAAATTAATATATGTATTTATGTGTATTAAAAAAAATTAAGGAAGCATAAAACATGCAATATAACGTAAACAAATTAAAATTACATTACACAATTTGATTATAATAATAGAAAGTATATTTAGTTGATAACTCATCAAGCTAAATATTGAAATAATTTTTTTAAAAAGTTTTAAAAGTAATCATTAAATGATTAAATAAATAACTAATTCAATTAATAGCAAGCATTAACTGAATGTAATTAATATATTTTTTTGCCAAATGTGTTAAAACGTATGTACATCGATTAATTATGTGCTAAAACTAATTTGTTTTGTAATTCCAACTAATTACATCTGAAACGTAATATGATAGGATCATTATGACTTTGGTATGCGTACGATGAAAGCTGTTATTACTGCTGCTGGCAAATTGAAGAAAGAGCAGAGGAAACTTCAAGAGAAACAAATTTGTCTGCGTGCTTTGAAAGACGTAAATGTTCCCAAGTTTTTGAAGAATGATTTAAAGTTGTTTAATGGTGAGTTGACTTTCATCTTGGAAATATAAAATCATTTTAGAATATATAAAATATGCAAAACATTCATACTGTGTAAAATATCTTTAACCTTTGAGAGATATGTATCATATTTTATAACTAAGTAATATTCTTTCTGAATATAAAATAAAACAACTTATTTTTTATGCTTTCAATGCATCTTATTTTTAGATTTATATCTGTACTTTACAAGTGTCGCTGAAAGTATATTTCTGTTTTTGAAGTTTTTGCTTGTAAATTATTCGTTCACTGGTTTTTTTAATTGTTTTATTTTCTGTTCGATAAACGAATTTTCTTGTATTTATACTTTTTTCACGGACATCAATAGAAGAAAATGTCCAATCTAATTAACGAGTATCCATAATAATAGACACTCCAGAAATTATGTCAAACCTATTTCCTTTTTTCCAGGAATTGTGTCAGACTTATTCCCAGGAGTTACTGAAAACTCAATAAATTATAGCATCTTAAAAGCAGGCATTTGCAAATCTATTGAATTAATGGGTTTAGAAGATATCGATGGTGTAGTTAAATTTTTCTTCTTAATCTGTATTTTTTTGCTATTTTTATTTTTAAATGCATTGAATATATTTGAAGTGTATATCTCCACGCAAACACTTAAAAAAATAACTTTATAAATTATATTGAAAATATTTTTTTATAGAGAGAAAGCACATTGCAAAATATACACACATATATACAGGGTATCCGACAATTGCTGAATCACCTCTCGGGTGCAGGTAGAGCGGGTTAAATCGAGTAGAAAAGTTCTCTATCGTTTTGCGAGTTTCGCAATAATTAATTTTAAATTAATTATATAAGATCGGCCAATTCGCACGAGTCTAAGCGCGCGGCGAGAAGAGACCCGTGGCAGTACAGCTGTTATTTAACTCACTGTTATTTGGTTACTTGGCGCGCGACGAAGCGGTGAGAGGAACGCTTTAAACATAGCAACGTACAAGCGGCGCGTAGCGCTGAAACTGTTCCGCATTCTTTTCGTTATCGAAAGAAATAAAATAATTAATGATAATTAATTAATAATTAATAATAAAAAATAATAATAAATAAATAATAAGTAATTAATAATGATAAATAAATAATAAATAAAAATAAATCTTATAGCAAATATTATTATGCTATCATTTCCACACCACCTTGCGGTAGATAACACGGCGCATTTTTTTTAAAGTGGTATCCCCAATAGGTCTAATCCACTCTCATAATTTAATGTAAAAATTGTTCGAAGTGCCTTCCTCGTTCTCGTAAACAGAGTTCGGCCCTTCGAGTAATATTGCTTGTCGCGCGATATGCCATTTCCGGAGTGATGGTATTGAAAGCTGGAAGAATTGCTTCTCGTACTTTAGTTTTTGTACCATCATGCCTGTACTCGACTAAATGTTTGATATGTCTCCAAACAAAATAATCGAGTACATTAAGATCTAGCGATCGCGCCGGCAAATGATTGGGCCACCTTGACCCATCCATCTGTTTGGATAATACGCGTTTAAAAATTTACGTACCTGACGTGAGAAATGCGCAGGAGCTTCGTCGTGTTGAAAAATGAGCTCTGCTCGTACGCGGAGAGGAACATCCACGAGGAGCATTAGTAACTCATTTTGGAGAAAATTTGCGTAAATTTCTCCATTTCAGACGCGGCGGGAGAAAAAAGGGGCCAATCTGAAAATCACCGAAAGAGAATGATTTGTTAAAGTTGCAAAAGAAAATTCCTTATTTTTTACTAACAATAAATAAATTTATTATACTTACGATTCGGTCCGCTATTATTCCTGCCCATACATTTATCGACCAGCGATATTGAAATGCGCACTGCCGAACGGCGTGCGGATTTTCTTCTTGCCATAACAAGAAGTTATGACTGTTAAATATGCCGTTCGGTGTGAAAGTGGCTTCGTCTGTTCACAGGATGCGGTCGGGGAAAAAATCGTTGACACGTCAAGTCAAGTCAAGTCGGGCCAAGAGGGTAGAGTCAGGGTGGATATATGTTGAATAGATTGATTCATTCACTGTTTTCGTTTCATAAATTATTTTCCCGTGGTCACTACAAGCGAAACTTCAAAGTGTAATATGCGCTGATAGCAAACTTGTATATGACAACGCGCTGCGCACGAAATGCAGCGATTATCTATAAAGGTGTAATGTGGAAGTGATGCTTTAGCAACAATTTTAGTTAACTTTTCTTCCTCAAATATGTGATAACATGTTATTTTTATATTTATTTAACAACTATTGCGCAACACAAGTGCGGTATAAGCGATGCGTCATGCAGCGCGACGCATATAGTGCGATACTGATGATTCATTTTTAAAAGATTCGATTTCGGAACATAATAAAATCATATATGGTTGAATTCAGCGTAAAAAATGCTACAACTTTTGTCATTAAAAAAATTTTGAAATTCAAAAAAATAATAACAAGGGGTGGAGGTAAATTAAAAAAATTACATTTTTTGAAAATCCAACTACACAGTTATAAAGCCTATTACAAGCCATACAACTTCTATTTGAAACATTTTTTTGTATCTCCTACGGTTTTGGCGATAGTTACACACAAAGAAAAAACCCGTTTTTTTTCAAAAGGGTGTTTCACCCTTTAAATTTGAGTTAAGGCCGCTATAAAAAAATACGTGTCTCCTCAAATTGTACGTTTTACAACATATTTTAAGGAGAATCAAATCGAGAGGGGACACTTGTGAACGTTCCCTTGTTAATCGATCGACTAATATTTTGACTATCGAAGACAACCCGTTAGAATATAATTTGGTCGTCGCCCAGGGTCAAGACGTATTGATTCGCGAATTAAAAAATAAATTAGAAAAGTCGGAAGACTCGAAATTCGAAACGGCATAATATATCAGAAAAAAGACGGACAAATTCTATTTTATGTACCCGCAAATATGGAGAGTAATGTATTACACAAATATCACGATGAATTAGGTCATTTAGGCGTAGAGAAAACTGTCAATGTCTATTATGTATAATTATTGGTTTCCGGGTCTACGTCAAAAGGTAGAATCTTACATACGAAATTGCCTGAAATGTATCGCATTTTCTCCCTTATCGGGTCGACGTGAGGGTTATCTGCATAGTATTCCTAAAGGAAGTGTACCATTCCACACAATACATATCGATTTTTATGGCCCGGTGGACAAGAAGTGATTAATTAAGCAATACGTATTTCTAATTGTAGATGCGTTCACTAAATATGTAAAATTATACGCGACGAAAAATACTTCTACGAACGAAGCAAAGCGATGTTTAGAGGATTATTTCGCAAATTATAGCCGACCAGAAATCATAATTTCTGACAGAGGTACGTCATTTACATCACACGAATTTAATAATTTTGTTAAAGAAAACGGAATAAAACACATTCTAATAGCGACGGGATCGCCTCAGGCAAATGGACAGGTTGGACGAATTAATAGGACTCTTACACCTATGTTAGCTAAGCTCGTGGAAAACGAAAGTGGGAAATATTGGTATCAGATATTGACGGATGTAGAATATGCATTAAATAATACTTTTAATAAGAGCATAGGAGATATACCGAGTAGAGTTTTGTTTGGAATACTACAGCGAGGAAAAGTTAAAGACGAAGTTGCAATGTACATGCAGACTGAGTTAAGAACGTAGGATCGAAATTTAAATCTTATTAGAAGTAAGGTAGCGGAAAAAACGGAGTCAGCGCAGAAACGCAATGAAATGTTAATAAATAAAAAACGAAAGGCAGCGCGTGTGTATAAAAAAGGGGACTTAGTTACGATAACGAACTTTGAGAGTACAGTTGGAGCTTTGAAAAAATTGTTACCGAAATTTAAGGGACCGTATCAAATTGTAAAATGCTTGCGAAATGACAGATATCTTGTATCCGATATTGAGGGCCACCAGAATACACGTCGTGCCTATCAAGGCGTTTGGCAAACTTGCAATATGCGGCCATGGAAAAACAGCGATTCTATTAGATTAGAATAAGCAAGACTAATTATACTATTGGCGGTACTAGCAGGGTTCAATATGTACGGGACGTACATATGTCAGGCTGTCGGCTGTTGTAAGCGATAACGAGCGTTTCGAAAAGTTTGAGCGATAGACGGCGCTTCAGAAACAGAACGCATATAGAGATGTGTTAAGACTACGTATTTTGGGCGAAAGAGGGGAGTCCGCTGTCAACATTGACGAAGTGAAGTTGAATACCTTGTACTGGAAGACTTAAGTACTGATTCCAAAGTAATTCATTACAAATTTACCTACAACAGTTTCTTTATTATTTTTACAATGTATATATATTTGTTGTTCCTTAAGTGTAGAGTACAACCATGCATTTGGTGTTCTTAATGCTATCCATAAAGTTTGATTACTCTTAATATAACGCGTATCGCAATTATCCGTATTTTTTGTTATGTGTGAGTACGCTTGTATTTCGCAAAGAGAATTTGTGTTTATAATATAAATAGAACTATAGGGTTCGCATAAATATGTATTGTGTACATTAATACATTTATCTAAGTTTTCTTTCGTTATAGTCATGTATGTCGGTCCGTCTGTATTTATCGCGATTATATGTTGATTCACTTCAGTGAAAACAAAAATATTGTCATGGTCATGTATAGGTAAAGGAATTATTTTTATTATTTTGTATTTAGGAAACGTTATCAAAGGGAATTGTAGTATAGTATAAATATTTGTATTGTCATAGTATGCGCTTGTGTTAATTAATTTTTTGATGGTATTCCGTTCTTCTATTTTAAGTCCAAAGGGAAATTGGTGTTCCTTGAGGCAAATGAGGTGTCGCTTCTTTTAATTCAAAAATTATTTTTTCTATTGGTGTTATTTTTGGATTTAATATTCCGTTTTGTATTCGTGTCAGAAAGTCAATAATATCTTGAATATCTCGTTGTAGATCAGTCAAAATTGCGTTTATTATTAGAAAGTGTTCTAATATATCTTCTCGTTTAATTTCATCCGCGATTCAATTGTAAATATTTTTTGTAGCGTTTTTTAATAATTCGTTATTATGTTCTAGTGTATCTTCTAGCTTATTTATGTGTGTAAGCGTTGTGTTTAATATTTTTATTTGCGTTTTCGCGGCGTGTTGTGTTATTTGTTCGTTATTCTTTATGCTACGTGTTATATTATATCAAAAGTGTAAGGTTTTAAGATAATTCTTATATGTGTGTGTTCTGTATTTCGTCCTTTGGAAGGGTCTTGTAATTTGCGCGAGTGCTACTGTGCGTCAGTTCTTGTTAGATCGTGTCTAATGATGGATCTTTCTTTTGAAAATTTGATTATTGTTGTGCGGCCTACGACCGGCCGGCGAGTAGTGATTGTGCGTGAGCTAACCACGGCGGAGCTATTGGAGGACGTAGTTCCCGCTTACGTTGAGGGTTCGGTGGAGCGATATCATACTCGCTGCGAAAGGGCGGCCCTTACCCTTGAACTCATCAAAGGGTTGCGTAGTGCGGTGTCGAGGCAATTTCGACGATTTGGTGGGCATCGTCATCGTCGTATGGGGTGTCTAGAGTGGCGACGTGCAATGTTGACCATACTCGAGGCGACTTGCACCCTGAACCGGGTTTTTTGGCTCCAGGAGGAGGCCAGTGAGAACGAGGATTATCCCGATTCTCCATAATGCGGTAAGTGTGATTTAGTTTTCAATAAAATGCTTAATGCGGTTTGCATGCACCAGCATTGTTTTTCGCCCTTTTTTAATAATGTAGTTAACGCTTGATTTTTTCTCGATTACTACGTAAGGTCCTGTCCATAACGCGTCAAGTTTTTTCGAGCATCCTCGTCTTAGTGTTTAAATGTGCTTACTTGAGTCTTTTTATCATAATAATCTTTAGCTTTAATTTTTTACCTTTAAATTTTCTTTTGCCACTTGGTGTGCGGCTCTTAATTTTTCTCTTAGTTCCGCGGCGTAATTATCGTACGTATAGCTAGTTTTCGGTGGATAGGTTAATGCTGTCGGAAGCGTTGCTTGATGTCCGTATATTAATTCGTACGGAGTATAGGTTGTCGCGGTGTGCGGTGTTGTATTATACGTGAACATCGCGTAAGGTATCCACTCATCCCAATCTATTTGATCGGAGTTAATATAATGTCGTAAATATTCTGCTAACGTTCTATGTGATTGTTCGAATGCTCCGTTGCTTTCCGGATAATATGCAGTTGTTTGTATTTTTTCTATCTTTAACAATTTGCACACGTTTTTGAATATTTCGCTTACAAAGTTGGTACCTTGATCTGTTGAAATTTTTTCGAGTATTCCGTATTCTAATATTATTTTCGTCACAAATTCTTTAGCTATTGTGTTAGCTTCTTGATTAGTAATTGGTAGGGCGCGGATGTTCGTGCACGATCCCGTGTCGCGCGCAGAGAACCGCTGCGTGCGAGTGAGATAGATGTATTGAATTCGGATGAATTGACAATCGGGTCTTCTTGAGAAATGCTACCTTAGCGAATACTCGACTCACTCGCATGCAGCGGTTCTCTGCGCGCGACACGGGATCGTGCACGAACATCCGCGCCCTAGTAATTAGTATAGCTTTACTAAATTTAGTCAGATTATCTTGAAAAGTTAGGATGTATTTATTTCCGTTATCAGTAATCGTTAGTGGTCCTACAATATCAAGAGCGCATTTTTCAAAAGATTTCTTTGGCGTATCAGTGATTATTAACGGTGCCTTTGTTCGTCGTGATAATTTATTTTTCTGGCATAAGCCACATTTGGCTATGTAATTTTCGACATCTTTTATTAGTCCCTTTTAATTATGTTTTAAGCGTATACGATTAATTGTTCTTTCTTTTCCTTGATGCCCTTCTATAGGTGCATCGTGGTATTCGTAAAGTATGCGTCGTTTTTCTTCTTTACTATATATTTTAAGTGCATCGTTATTTTCTTCCTTTTGGAACGTAAAAATTTTTTCGGCCACATTGCGACTTAATGCGTCTGCATTTGTATTAGATTTCCCTGACTTATGAATGATTTCATAATCGTATTCTTCTAATTTTAATCTCCAACGGATTAATCTTGATCCCGGATCAGTTACATTAAATAGCCATACAAGTGGTTTATGATCGGTAACTATTTTGAATTTAGTTCCGTATAAGTATGGTCGGAAATGTTTTACTGCCCATACTATAGTTAGTAATTCTTTTTCTGTAGTATTATAATTTTGCTCAGCTCGAGAGAGTATTCGGCTGGCGTATGCTATAGGACGGTCATGTCCTATCAGGCCTTGTTATAGTATAGCTCCAATGCGTAATCTGATGCGTCGGTAATTAATAGAAATTCTTCGTTAAAGTCCGGATATTTAAGGATTAATGCTGTTATTAACTTTTCTCTAAGGATATCAAACGCGGTTTGTTGCTCGTTTGTCCATTCAAATTTTATTTCCTTTTTTGTTAATTTGGTTAGCGGTTTAGCGATCTTTGAAAAATCTTCAATAAATCTTCGATAATATCCCGCAAGTCCGATAAAAGATTGTATGTCTTTTATTTTTCTCGGTACCGGAAAATTTTTTACCGCCTTTAATTTCTCTGGGTCAGGCATGATCCCATTCTCAGCTATTACATGCCCCAGATAAGTAACTTCTTTCCTAAGGAACTCGCATTTATCGGGTTGTAATTTGAGATTGTTGGTTCGTATTCTTCGCAACACGTCTTCTAATCTACGGTTGTGCTCTTGGAGACTGGCTCCATATATCACTATGTCATCGAGATATACTAGGCACTTTATTCCTTGTACACCTGTTAGAATTGTATTCATTAGGCGTTGAAAAGTTGCGGGCGCGTTTGTTAATCCAAAGGGCATTCTATTAAACTCATAGTGCCCATGTAGAGAATGCAGTTTTTTCTTTATCTTTGCCGGCCATTGGTATTTGGTGATACTCTGATGCTAAGTCTAACGTCGAAAAATATTTCGAATTTCCTAATTGATCGAGTATATCCGTAATGTTAGGTAATGGGAATGAATCTCCGATTGTTAAATCGTTTAATTTTCGGAAATCTACGACTACACATAATTTTGCCTTTTCTGAAGCGTCTGTCTTTTTTGGCACCACTAGCAATGGAGCATTCCATTGGCTATTGCTCGGCTGAATAATTTTATTTTTTAGCATTTCCTACACTTGTCGATTTACCTCTGTCTTATGTTTCTCGGGCAGGTCGAGTGTTGACCGGTGCTGAATCGGCACGCGTCGCTATCTCATGTTTCGCGACCGCGGTAGCCGTCAGTGGTTCTCCTTCTAGATGAAATACGTCATCGAAATCTTCGCAGATTTTAAGTAAGGTTTTTCGCTCTTCGTTATTTAAGTGATCGAGACGAAGCGCCTCTTTAATTCGTTGCATGCGTGACAAGGGAATTTCCTTCGGTATATACGTTTGAGCTATTAATATCTCGGCATTTCCTTCTGTCTTTACTTCTTCAATTTCTACTACTGGAGCTTGCATTTCTATTTTAGTTTCGGTAGTATTTATTATGCTAATCGGGCAACTATTATTTTTTGGCTCGACTAGGCAATTTCCGATAAATATTCCTGGTCTAGTTTCCACTGCTTGGATTATTCCTGCTGTGTTTTCTTTAGTTATGGCTGTTATGATAGTTTCGCTTCTAGCTTCTAAAGTAAATTTTT